AAAGACTCTCAGCCCGTGGTCACGAAAGTGCTAGAGCCATCTATCTGAGGATCTAAAGAAAACACCCACACATATAACGAGAAAAAGGTATCCAAGAGCCCGAAGAGGTACACCTAAAAATCCCTGCAGCACCGCATGCGTGCCCAAAAACTGAACTGCACGTCCGTCCCACCGTTCGACTACAGTAGCATCACCCCCTCCCTGTCCCACTCTATACCAAAACGGAAGATTGCCGACTACAGCATACTGCTGTCTGAAGTGCTGTCTGTACAAAAACACCATGGTAGGCATGGAACAAGAAGCTGGCGGGGCACAAAGCTGCTGTCTGAAGTGCTGTCAGAATGTGTCTGCGGACGTACAGTGAAAAAGAACAACCAACCAAAGCCATGATAGCAATGGACAATCACCCGAACCTCTCCCGATCGTCTGTGTTAGGCACGCAGTGAAAATATCGACAATAGCTAAGAATCGTTCCACATTGAAGGGGTCTTCCACGATCAGGCACAAAACCAATGCACCCGGGTTAGCCACGCCATCTCGACGGGTCTCTCTACAAAACCGGTGACTGATGATGTCATCACACAAAACCAACACGGAACGTCAGAAGAAAAACGAAAAAAACTGACAACACAGAAATGTTTGTCCGTGCGCCACGGGTCGATATCGCCCGCGTGCTCCGGTGCCTTTGCTCCATCCGGCGCCGCTGTAGTCAGCCCGAGCAAAACGCCACTCGACCTGCTCCGTCCGTACACACTCTCGTTGCTGTCCTTCCCAGTCCGTTCCTCGCTTTCTCCCTCATTGCACTCAAGGTTCTTGGTCTGAAAAAAATAAAAATTCTCGCGCCGAATGGTCAACCAGCCTACCTAGCTAGTTCAGCTCGTCGCCACCTGCTCCCTCCTCCGTTAATGGCGAAGCCAGGGNCGAATGGTCAACCAGCCCAGTTCAGCTCGTCGCCACCTGCTCCCTCCTCCTTTGATGGCGAAGCCAGGTTACTGAGGCAATACAGCTCTCTCTAGCAAACCTAGGGCCGTGTAGTGCCCGTCCACCTTTCTGATGGTGTCTGCCTCCGCGCATAAAAATGAGATGGGCATCACTGCCAACGCCATGTACGTGTGTATGGAAAACTGCATCTTGATCTTAATAATAGTTTATTTTTTGAAAAAGTGTGGCCCGTTAGGGGTACACTTTTTGTTTTGTTTCGCAAAAAAAAAAAACTTTTTAGAGGGATCGTGTGTGGAGTCTGTGCGCACGAGAAAAAGAATAATTTTCATGC